GAGCGGATATAAGTAATTTGAGTCGTCTTGTTCTCTTTTCCGTCTTCTACGCCACTGACCACTCCCATCGCCCCGGTCTCTTGGTCGGGGGCCAGAATCCCACATCGCGGCTTTGACAGTCTGGCAACACCGTCCCTGGAAAAGTGTCGGTGCCGAGCCCCGAGCCCCGAGGAATGCCTCAGACGCGACGTAACGGAACTTGACGATGCGAAAGTACGGAAAAGTCGCGAGGAAAATTTGTGAAGGTCACGGACGTCACGCGGCCCGACCGCAACTCGCTTCTGACGGATTTCAACTAAATCTGGCACGCTCGAAGACGTTGCCAAGTTTCTCCTATTTCGAAAATTTGGCAGAAACAACTGCGCTTGTCCGGAAGGTGCGTGCGAACTTGAGGGCACGACGACCGCCGGCAAGCAACCCGAAGCCGTCCTTCTCCGAGATGGCGCGTCATCCTGTATCGTACGAGCAACGAGGAATTTGTAAAAACGACGAAGAAGCGAGGGGGTGTTTATAATTAGCCGCCACTTCGCCGACCGACTCCACCGGGGACGGAGACCGCGACGCCTGGAGGTCACGAAAATTCAAAAGTTCTGAGAAAAGTTTTTATGACTTCACAATGACCCGTAATCTGTTTACTGGGGGGAGGCGGCCCCAGCGAAGCTTAAACACATTTGGCTCTGGCACTCTCGTCCGCCACAACAGCGCCCGTCCATGACAAACTGCAAATTTACAGATTGTCAGAGCGGGTGTGGTACGTATATTTACCACTGGGCTTTAAAGGGTTCACTACACCTGGTGGACGAATGAGAAATCTAGGGAACAAGATAACCCACACAAAAGCTCCCGTTCACTCCTCGTTACTCAAATTCGACAAACGAAGAACGAGTGCTTGTTGCATGACACTCGTCCACTCGCAATTATCTTCGGCTGAATACAGGCCGCGTAGAACGAGGTTTCGAATTGAACATCGTCTCATAAGACGGGGACGCGAGGTCAGTCTTAAGACAAACAATTCGCCTTTTATGGCAGCGGCGCCGTGCCTCATCGAGTTTCTGGCCGCGCGTTGCAGCTGCAAGTCTTCGCCGCGAAAACGTTAGTCCGGACGCTGCTGGTCCAGACCGTCCGCTCTCACTTTCGGTTCGCTGCATCTGAGGAAACACGAAAGGAGCAGCTTCTTTCAAAAATTCCTCCTTCAAACGCATCAAAATCCTTCTCGTGAACGGAGCGCCACGTTCTCCGCTGTTACACACAAACAAATAAC